TTCAGTAAGCGTTCCTATATTGGAGATAATGGGACGGCCTGGTGGATGAATATTGAGCGACTTAGTGATGTCAAATATTTTGAATGGATCAATGGATGTGGATATGTTGTGCGGGTTGGTTGTGAGCATGTTGTCGATAAGTTTGGGTAGCTTGTGTAGTTTTGGAATGGTGTAAAACGTACCTGGCTGTGGGTTCCTAGGGATAAGAGCAGGCATATGTGAACGGGTATGAGTAGATAACCCTTTGGTCATGTTCAAAAGTTCACGTTTAAAATCAACAGTATGGTCCTTATCTAATTTCTTATAAAATGTAGTGTTCGATAATTGTTCATTGGCTTCTTCGATATAACTGGTTTGGCTCATGATGGTCGTGGCTCCTCCTTTATCTGCCTGTCTAATTACGATGTCATCATTGGCTTTAAGAGTGGATATAGCCTTACGTTCTTCTTTGGTCATATTATCTTGTAGTTTTTTACATTGTACTTCGTTGAGGAACGAGTTTAAGTGCGAGGTCGCTGAATTGATGTATGCATCAATGAATTGGTTCCTACCAGTAGGTGGATTGAACTCCTTCACTAGATTGTTCTGTCTTTGCAGAGTGTGATTAGCGGCGAGCTGTTTGTCCTGAAAGAATTCCTTAAGTTGTATCCTACGGGTGAACATGTGGAAGTCAGAACAGAGATTGACTGGGTCAGGTTTCTGAGATGGGCAATATGATAGTCCCTTATTCAAGATGCTTTGCTCTCCCTGAGTGAGGCTGTGATTAGATAGGTTAACGAATTGGTTGAGTTTTTTTCCTTCAATTTGCTGATGATTGTGAAATTCGTTGGGAAATCGGCTGAGAAGTACAGGATGATTGATACTTTGGAGGTGCTTTAATTGTGGATTTCTTCCTGCTAGTTTGGAAATTTTGTCTGATTTCAACTTCAGGTCGTGGATTAGTTTCTGCTTGTAGATGATTTGAAGGCATTTGTTTACTTCTCCTTTTGTGTCGTTGGTACACTTTTCAAGGTTTATGCTGGATTGCTGGAGCTTATCACTAATTTGAGCTTGAGTTGAATATGCCTGTTAAGGACATGGTTACGTACTTTACGTGAGGCTTCCACACAAATCCTATCTACGATTGGCGACTTAACAGCACTGCGCATCATCAAACCGTTGGGTACTATATCAAGTTGCTTACATTGTGTAAGGAAAATAATGTGTGACCTAGTCTTGGCCATCTTAGTGAGTAGAGATTCATGATGTCTTCT